CAAACACTCGGACATTCGCGAGGTTCCTCGATAATTCATAATCCTTCGAGAAACTCCAGTGTGCATGCACCCAACGTCACACGACTTCCGCTGTCGTAACACTGCCCTTCCTTAGTATTGTTCATCCCGAACAATAGCCACTTACATTTAACCAATAAATAATTAATAATTTTTGTGTAAGAAAAATCCTTTTTTTTTCATATATCTCACTTACCTGTCTTCCAACAAATTCAAATCCTCTTAAGGAGCCTGAATTTGGTTCATAACCTTTATCTTTATCAAAGGGATGCCACAATGTGAAACAGTAATGTTTATTAAAAAGGAAAATTAATACTACTATAACAGTCCTACAAAATAGTTTTAAAATGTTCCAAGTTTAAAATAGTTTTGTAAAAAAAAAAAGATAAGTATAATTTTTTTATACTTCTGTTAGCTATATTATTATTAGACTTTTGACATATATGAAAAAATGCAATCACTAAAAACTTATAATTCCAGAATACTGTGCTTAGAGCAACAAGATAGATCCACAACACAATGGAAGATCTGACAAGATATTTATATTGAAGTAATTTCAAATTTCTCAGAAATTGACTAAATTCATGAGAATGAAATAAAGAAACTGGACATAATGTAAAATGCACAGTGAAATATATATATTTATTTAAACTCAAAAACAATCAAAGTTAAATAATTTCATAGGAAGAAGAACAACACCATTACTTGCTAGTGAGCTCTCTCTAAACTCTCCTAAGAATTTACTAAGAGGTTTATTAAGAATTAGTTAATATTACAGGTCAAACTTTAGAAGAGTGTGTAACTATTTAAGTGAAAATTATAACTTAAAGTTACCAAACTGAGGTCTTGAGCTTGCAAGATAGAGCTTACTAACGGCACCATCTATGTCACTGTTGGTCAATTACATTGAAACACAAGGAATGTTATAACCTCGAGATATCACCTGATTGAACTATAGATAAATCTTCTGTCAACCTCCATAAACGAAGTGCATAGCTTTACCCCCCAAAGGCAAATCAAGTGTTACCTCCAAGAAATGATAGCGAGCAAAGGTAGCTATATAAAAAGTAATTTAATAAGTTCCTTGACCAGGTTATTGAAAATTGCACATACTAGAATAACTAACTAACTATGAAAGACTCTATATACAAATAAGAAAGTACAAAATGCACAGTATACTTATATTCCACAATTCATCAAAAACTTACAGCTTTCTTTGTTGTTCTTTTTGTTTCTCACCAAACAGTCGAAAGTTAAGAAGTTTGCTATTCTTATAACGATCTTTAGGAAAGTTTTTCAAAGAAGGGATAGGAGGAAGTAGAGGCAAGCCTTCTAATCCAGGAAGCTCACATTCTTTTTTTCGTCGGACAAATCCAATATTTTGAGACAATTTATGATGGGATGATGCCATAACTTTATACTCCTCCTTCTATTTAGTGTTAAAAATTATATTTTAATACAGTTTGTATTACAAGATGATAAAAATCAGAAGCTAATGTTCCAATTTCATTATCTAAAAAATCATAACTAATAGAAGTGTAAGCAATTTGCAGAATTTTCATTAAGCTTATTTTATCACAAGTTACAGCTTTTACAGTGAAGGTTTGTTTTTAGAACAGGTACATTTTGATCACTGGTGCGACCATTCTCAAATACCCAAGTTTTACTTGAGAATGATAGCACCAAAGACTGAAATATTGTATGTGTTGAAGAAACAAATATTCCTTGTTGTAAAAGCCATAAATTGTAACAAAGTAATTCATTTACAGTTTTGTTTGATTCTTCTCTGTGTTTTCAAATTTTGTTGTTTCTTTTTAAAACAATTTTCTAATTTGTGCATGTTAAAGTGTTTTTAATCTATTTCATAATGAAACAATCACATTGGACTGCTAGGATTTTTTTAATCACAAACCACTTCTACCTTTGTTACAAGAGTTGTGAACTTCTAACTTTTTTTATAGATTAAATAGTAAGAACATTCTTATAATGAAGAGCATGACCATAGAAATGACAAATATTATGTTTATGCTCATTTGTAATTTTCTAATTCACTTTTAGTAATTTTTTTTTACATTAAGTATATATTATATAACTGCATAACAATTGCAATGAGATAATCTGTATAATTATAAACATATACGAGGAAAAATAAAAAAATATGAATCTGAGAACAGAAAATATATATATTCAAATATATAACATACTCAAACAAGTAGGTCACAATCCCAAGAAATTTAAACCAGCCACTTACAAAAATATTTAAATAAGTTTTATTTAACTGAAATGTGGTTGTTAATCAAAACATTTAGTTTTCTGTTCAAAAATGTAATTCATGGCCTCTGAAAGTGTCAACAAATTATGTATGTAATAACGTTAAAATAACTGATTACATAAACAAGTTTCCAATGGAATGTAATAGGAAATTTCTGTTAATTCGGGTGGAAAAGTTATAAATGAATATAATAAGCAATAAATTTCAAAATATTTGATATTATTAATTTGCACACACTGTCACTGCCATAAGACTACGACTAGTATCTGACGTTACTTGGTCTTTATTCGTACTGATTACCATACTGAAACAAGATAGCACTAAAGATTCAAGATACTCACCGCTGAATACCAGATTTTGTGTATAATTTATAAACTTAATTAGAAAATAGAATCATAAGTGATTATAATTAACTAAACATAATTTTCTATCAGTATTATGTTATTAAGCCTAACATCTCTCTTTTTTTTAGAATAGAATACGGCTTTAAAAGTTTAATATAAATGTAAAACAATTCATACTAAAAGTTTTTATTTAATTATTTCGAATATACGACAAAAACTTCAACGTTCGAAAACTTGAATGAAATAAGCTCGTTTGGTAACTATAGTTACAGTGGTAAACAAATATATTCCTATAAAACGAGCACAGTAAGGGGTAGAGGATGCTACGGTCTAAATAAGCACAAAAATGCACTTTGGGCCATCTATGATGTGCGACGTCATGGATTGATTCCCGAATTTTAGCGATAGAAGTCCTCAATCTTAACATAACACAACAAGGAGCCTTAACGCTAAGACATCTGAGGCCCTGTTTTCAAGGCAAAAATAATCTTATTTGGGTTTGAGACTTCAAGTGTTTGCTTAAAAGTGGTCTATTCTGAAACATGAAATTTATTTTGTAGAAATAGAAAATATTTAAAAGGTCATATTCTGGTTGCTTAAAATGCAAAGAATCAAGTATCTATACCCACGATGGGTAGAGCACAAATTACCCAATGTGTAGCTTTGCACTAATAAACCAACAACATATTAAGGTATGAATAATAGCACAACAGCAACAACAACAACAAATATTTCATTACTGTGTGACGATAACAAACATTTAATCCTTCAAAGTTTCGGAATGTACATATTCCATCTTCAGCAAGCTGTATTAAAAGGGCTAAAACAGTGGATACAAAAAATTTAAAGTTCTAACATTTTGTAAAAAAGGAATTAAAATACAGAGTAAAGGGATGAAGTCAAGTATGAATAAATAAGAATTAGGTACTGCAACAATATTGTTACGTCTCCGTTTGTTAATTAACTTTCCGTAACTTTGTTCCAACGAAACTTTAACGACACAAGTCTTTAC